TGTTGTTGTCCATTTGTCTGAAGCAACCTACAGCTTTATCTGCTGCAGAATTAGATAACCTGTAATTTTTTAGTGGCCCAACATTTTGAAAGTGAAAAGTATTCTAATGAAATACAAGTTAACAAACATAAATAACCCTAGAAATGAATTCAGCTGTTCCGTAGAAAAGGAATGAGAAGCAATGCATGTCCAGATGCCTTTTTCCCTTAATTTAGCCCAGTTGTGAGTTGGGTTTGTAAAATGATGACTGTGCACATTTTTGAGATGAGAGATGGCACTCCTTCTTCCACTCTTCCATTTTAATCTTTTTGCTCCTTTCCAGAGGTGGAATATTGTAAGAAGGCCAGAACTTACAAAAAGAGACATCTGTATTTTAGATCTTGCTGATAATATTTGTTAAAGTTGCCTCTTTTCATGGTCAGATTTTGTTTTCTGTTGATTCCAACTGTTTTTAACAGCAATTATTTGGAATGAAGTCTAAATGTCTGTCCAGCTAATTCCTTTTAGAAAATTATAGAGGAAATAGTTCTGCTGCTTCAACAAGTTAAGAGACTACACAAAACCCCCATTATTTTGTTATTATTAAAATTTCTAGAAAGTGTTCTGCAGCATGACCTGGATGCAATTTGTGTGTCTTTAGGGCATATAGTTCCTGTAATATTGCACAAAGGAAAGGAAGGAACTTATTTTCTGCAGATGAGGTAGCCAGCATTTTGTTCAGAAACAAGCTTAAAACAGTCTATCAATTTATACATTCAAAGCCAGGATCTCCTTGACTTGTACTGCAGGCATATTTAAAATACTGAAAATCAGACCAGCAATCCTGCAGTGAGTATCAAGATGAGCAATCAGTGATTGTCCATGAAAAAACTTGTGTGAAATGTTTTGCCTAACTTAATGAGAATTTTACCATAGAAAGGAGGACTTAAATCAGTCATAAATGTTTTATTTTTCAACTTTCACATTTTTATTTCTGCAGCGTTTGAATTCTTTGAAGTAAATTACCAGTGGCTAATATTGTTGTATTTTTTATGCTGTCAAGTGGAAATTACCTAAGCTTCCTTATCTGTGCTTTGTATTTCTTATTTTCTCTAGTTGGTAATATTTTTTTTCTAAATTCAAATATGTACAAAGAAATCTGGAATGTGTTTCTGAAACATAAGGAATTAGTTAATCACTAACATAGACACAGGCAGAGAACTGACTGGTTGAGCAGCAGCATTGCTGAAAATGACGTGGAGGTAGACATGAGACTGAATTATGAGCTAACAAGTGTTCTCCAGTTGGAATAAAGTAAACCACATACAGGCCTATGTTAGTAAAACTGCAGCTAGCAGGTGCTTAGTGGTGCTGCATCTGATGTGCTGGGTCAGGTTTGGGACCTTCTCCACTCTCATTTCTACAGGAGAGGTGGAGAAACCAGAGAGGGTTCAACAAGGAATTAATTTCTGTTCAGGGGCCTAGTAAACAAGACCTTTGAGGAGAGTTTCAGGGAGCGAAGTTTGTTGAGTCTGGCATAGAGGAAGCCAAGGAGTGATTGAAACTGTCCTGCAAACCTTAGGAGCCCAGCTGGTTAATCTTCAAGGACAGCTTCCTAAAACCCCAAGAACTGTTCATGCTGTTATGCGGAGAGTTGAGTGAGAGTATGGCAGAAGGCCAGCATGGATAAACAAGATGCTTCTGACTGACCTCAGACACAAAAACAAAGTAAACCATGGAAGCAGGGGTGAGCTACTCAGTAGGAACATAGAAACATTGCCAGAGCATGTGGTGATGGAGTTAGGAAACCAGAAACTCATCTGGAATTAGAACTATTGAGAGAGTTTAAGGGCAGCATGAAGGGCTTCTGTTAAGTGCATCCATGGCAAAAACAAGGGTGAAGAAAATGTTGACTTCCTGCTTAATAAGGGACATGAAAAAGGCTAAGAGTACCCAATTCTTTTTTTTTTACCTTGTTTTTTCCCTAATAAAGCTTGCCCTCAGGCCTTCCAGGTTAGTTAAGCCTCCTAGCAGAGAGTGTGATAATGAACCATTGCCCACTGAAGTGGAAGGGAATGTTAAGGAGCACTTAAGCTACTTGGACATTTTCAAGATACTAACCAGTATGCATCCAGGGGTGCTGGGGGAGCTGGCTGTCACTGAAGGGCTGTCATTATCAAAAAATAATGATGGCTAGGGGAGGTCACTGATGACTGGAAACAAGCAAACATCACATTCATCTTCAAGAAGGGTCCAGCGAACTGCAGGCCAGTCACCCTCACCCCTGTCCTTGTAAAAATTATGTAGCAAATCCTGGAAGGCATTTCTAAAGACATGAAGAACTAGAAGGTGACTGTGAACAGCCTGTGTGTATTTACCAAGGACAAATCATGCTGACCAACCTGATTGCCTAGTGTCATAAAATGACCATCACTGTGGATTAGGGGAGAGCAGTGGATGTTGTATACCTTGATTTCAGCCAGGCTTTTGGCACAGTCTCCAGACATATAATTATACTAGAATCTGTGAGGTTCTGACTGGATAAATGGACAACAGGGTGGATGGAAGATTGGTTTGATTGTTGGTGTCAAAGGTGGAATAACTGCTCTGCAGTCCAACTGCAACTTAGTATCTAGTGTCATACTTCATGGGGTGATACTGGGGACAATATTTTTTAACGTCTTTATTAATAACCTGGACGATGGGAGTCTCAGCAAGTTCATGGATGTTATCAAATGTGAGTGCACTGGACGGTAGGGCAAGAACAATATTCAGTGTGACCTCAACATGCTGGAGAAATGAGGTAATGCAGAATTCAGTAAGTTAAGCAAAGGCAAATGCAAGGTCCTGCCTCTGAGAAGGAGTAGCCTCATGCAGTAGTACAAGATGGGTTAGGTGCCAAATTTCTAGAAAGCAGCTGTACAGAAAAAGAGTTGGGAGTCCTGCTGGATGCCCTTGTTTTGGTTAAGGCCAAAGGCATCTTGGGCTGCGTTAGCAAGTGCATGGCCAGCAGATCAGGAGGACTGATTGGTGCTTATGAGACCACATCTGGAGTTCTGTGTCCAATTTGGAGCTTCCCAGGAGAGGGTAAACAGCACCTCATTAGGGTGAGTCAAGTGTAGGTCCACCAAGATGGCCAGGGGCTTGGAGCCCATGATGTACAAGGGGAGGCTGAGGGAGGTGGGCTTGTTCAACTTTGAGATGTTTTGAAAAGTGGGAGGGTGAGGTGTGATGTGCAGACTAGTTGCTCTCTGTAACTACTGGTAGGATGTGGAGAAGCCAGAGCCAGACTAGGCCAGGTACACAGTGAAAGAATGAGAGGCATTGAACACAAGCTACAGTCAGAGAAACTTTGACTCTGTCTAAGAATAATTTTTATATAATGAACTTGGGATTGAGTAAATACAGGATATATGCAGTCTCACAAATGGGAAAGCTAAATGAAGAAAACATTCTAGGAATTTGGCAAAAGCGAGTGTTAGCTGTGTTATATGTCCAACAGCTGGAGAAGAATGGGTATCACAGAATTATCCAGGTTGGAAGGGACTTTGAAAGAGCATCTGGTCCAACCTTTCAAAAGAAAAGGAAACTAGAAGAACAGAACAGAAGTTGTATATATTTGAAAATTATTTCAGTTATTAGGCTCTCATTTTTAGGTGAGGACATGTGGAAGTTTATTTCACTAAATACCATTTTGCATGCTTGGTCTCAGGAATGCTTCTAAAATTGATTTTATGAGCCATTTCCGCCAAAAGAAACAAACAAAAAGCAGCCACTACAGGTAGTTGATGAAAGGTCCAGAACTATTTGATAATCTATAGATCTGCACACCTCCAAAGCTTTGAATTTAATTCCTATATGTTTAGTACATGATGCTATATCAGTTGAAAGATTTGACAAACTGCTGCTAGAAATTTTGCAAGCTGTTCCAGTTAAATTCACTTAAACCTCAGACTTCTATTTAAGGAAATTACACTCTCTGAAGGGTGAAAGAATGTTTAGACATTGCTCTTTCTAATTTTTGAAAGGAATTTTAAAAAACACCATTAGCTTTTACTTTGGAAATTTTCATCTATAGACCTGTAAAAACCATTTGTGTTGTACTGAGGCGATGAGACTGAATTCTAAGGAATTGCAAAGCCGTGAAAACCATGTCCTGCTAGATGATTTGAGGGAGAGAGATTGTTTGGATTTTTTTAATTAGGTAGTTTTTGTGCTGCCCATATGTAATTTTGCTTGTCCGTTTTCTGTATGTCTCAAAAAATATGCAAGTATATATTAATAAAAACCTAAAGCATGTGTTATTCTTGTATAATATAGACAGACAGCAGATTATTTGATGAAGACATTAACATAGTAAGATTCTACATTATGATTCTTTTCTGAGCTGAAAGTTAGGAAATTGGAGTTGGACGGAGCATTACAACAGGTCTTTTTATTGAAATATTATCAAACAAAGAACTCAACCTGCTGAAATAAGCTAAGCTTGTATTAATATTTTAAAACTCACTCCTTCTGTGGGTTTTTTGGGGGATTTTGTTTTGGTTTTAATATATGGGTAGTTGGATATGGTTTTCCAAGGGAAAGAAGTTAGTTTTCTTTTCATAAATTGTATCTTTATATTGATCTGGGTTGGAGGCCTTCACAGCTGACTAGTTATATTTAAAAATTAAAATTAAGACATTAATAGGAATAAATGTATTAAAATTGGTTCTGCAGAAGAACAGAAGGACTATAATGAGCAGGTTTAGAATCAGTTAATAGTTCAGAATTTTTAAATCTGACAGGATCCCTTAGGCTAAGTGGAAAAATCAATGACTGCTCTTAATTGACAAAACTATGAAAAGCCATGTCATTTTTTTGTAGAGGTTTCACACCTTTTTGAATGAGAAACAACCAGCATCCGAATTATTTCTTTTATCTTGTAGTAAATGTTCAGTGCAATAAAGTTGTTTTAAAGGATACAATTAATTCAACAATGTTTATGTTTGAGAATTGTATTTTATCCTTCTGTGTTCCAGGGTGAACGTGGCTTTGCAGGTAGCAAAGGCGAAGAAGGTGAAAAGGTAAATTATTCTGTCCATAGTTTTCATTTATTTTTTTGGTTTGACAATTTGATATTTGGCCAGCCAAGCAGAGCTTTGTGCTGAAGGTCTTCCTTAACTCTTTAATTATTAAAATTCTTATTTTTTTCCTTGTAATTGCTTAAGAACAAGGAGTTTTTATGTGTGTTACTGAGTGCCATCAGTGCTTCTTTTAGAATTTTTTTTTCCCTTAAGAGAAGATTTACTGTTGAAGCCCAACAGAACAATAGCCACTGGACTTCAATAGTGTTTACTGCTATGTTATTTTTATGGCAACTACTAGTAAATGTCTGTTTATATAGTATGAAATGTATGATGAGATGATGTGTAGGTATTTATAGTACTTAATTATTGCTTTTTCTACATTACAATTACTTTTATGGGAACTTTTTATGTTGATTGTAAGTACTAAATATTCTACATACTTTTTTCCTAAGAACCTAAATTTACTGTAATAGCAAAATATAACACTTGGTACAGTGTAACTGACTGCTAATTTAAAAATTAATTTTGATTTACATAGTTCTGTGTACCTACACAGTAATCAGTATGAGTTCTGTCTCCTGTACACATTTGACTTGGAGCAAATTGACTTGACTACCAAGGCCTGAGCCGAATGCAGGTCCATTTACCTGTAGCAGTTCAGTCCCTTTGCTTGATGTACTGGTGTGTTGCCCTGAGGACAGTCTTAATCTCCTGACAGCCATAAAATGTTTCTGAGACTAAATTCCAGGATAAGCCTTTCCTTGTTCTTCGCCAGTGAGTATCAGAAATGGAGCTTGAAGTAATTTATCTGAATTGCATCTTTTCTGCAGTGGCCAGAAATAGTTCAACAGCTTATGTATTAAAATGGGAGTTAACCTGGCATTGTACAAGGCTGTTGTGGCTCACAGAATGCCAGCATCGGGTGGCTCTCGATGATGCAACCTAATCTTCTTGTGTGACTTCAGAAAAGCAGGTCTGCACAGGTCATCAAAGGCAAGTAAGCCTGTGTTGAGGGACAAGTGGAAGGAGTTTGCCTAACAGGAATTAAAGTAACAGTGGTGATAGTTCACGGTTGTAACTTCAGTTCTTAACCAGGTTAGCCTGGTTACTGCTTTTTCACTGGTTTTGGCTGATTTGGATTAGGCAACCTCAAATATGAGTCTTTTCTTGGGTCATAGATAGTTTCTCTGTGCTTCAGCCCATTGTCTGAAAAAGGTGCAGAAAAGCATTTCTGCTGAATTTATATATCATAAAGATGAAGAATGAGAGAGACTGCTATTCTGGCAATATTCAGACTGATGAAAACAGAGAGTAGGTGACAGCTTCTGAATTTAAAGAAGCGTAATATATTTGTGATTTAGGCTGCTTTGGACATCAATATATTCACTCACTCACCATACCTCTTCATAAGTGTCAGATATCTTTCCAATGCTCATATTTTAAAGAAAGATTTAAAATGTGGAGTTTTTTAAAGGAGGAAGTATTCCAGTAGCCAGGATAGAAGAAGTATCAGAATTAAAACCCAGCATCCATAGCAACTAACATTTATAATGTGAGAATTCAGCCTCTGAAAAAACACACTTGTTAAGCTTGAGTGTTTCTAACTGCACTGACAGATCTTATTTTCTTGGTGGTATCATTATTCATCAGTTCTGATGGGCTTGTGGATTTTTCTTTATCTTTTTTTTTCCCCCTCCCCATAATTGCTCTGCAGCTGTGCTGTACTCTCCTCAAGTTTTATGAATAAATTGTGTTTGGGCACAGGCACATGGTTCCAGCTGTTGCTGCCACTCTCTTTGCTTGATTTTCCCTCATTTTGAAGCAGAGATAAAATGACCCAACCACTGGCAGTTTCCTTTTTCTTATGTGGAAGCTGAATCAGTGTGTTTAGACCATTTTTTTTGATTTTGTCTTGTAAATTCAGAAGATAATTAAAAGATCCCATTTAAAAATACTTCCAGTGTAACTATTAATGTTGAATTTAACTGTCCTTCAGATAAGGGAAATGTAAGAGTGGAAGAATCTTTATTAACCAACAGTCACTTGAAAATAATTTGGGTCAGTCTCATCAGAAGCTACACATATTTGTGAGAAAGAGTACGTTTTTCAGGTTATGGGAAGTAGGTCTTTAGCAGTTAACCAATTCAGCTTTAATTCAAATAATTATTTAAGAATAACACTGTTGAGTTTCTAGTTACTAAACTCCAGTATAAAAAAATGTATCAACACATTTACATTTTAACATAACATCACAAAATATAACAGTTATAGATACTACTTTCTGTGTAACGTGATTACAAAGCCTGAAGTGGAAAATTTTCCTATTACCAAAAAATTCTACCTCATGTTGCAGATTAAGGAACAAGATTCTTGCATATCACCTAGGGTGGGACACAGCTGCCTAAACATGGGATATTTGCTATTCCAAACTCTGCACAAAAGTGCATGAAAATGTCACATTTTTGGTTTAGTGACCGTATAATTCCATAGGACTGAAAACTTGAAACCAGCTCAGCCTTATACCTCTTGGTTCACTAAATAAAACTTAGTTGATTTATTGTGTTGTGTTCTGCTTTGGCAGAGCAAGCCTTGGGGACATCAGAGAGATGTAGGCAACTGAGGCGACAGTGAGTGATCATTTGTACACTACAGTTATGGGAAACATCCATAATTTAAATTATTGAGGGAGATTCTTTCAGCCTGTTTAAAGGTTTCTTTGCGACACTTGGTTCTTCTTGAGGAATCCAAAAGTCTTTTTCTGCCTTCAACCTTTTTTTTGGCCGTGGTTGAACTTGGTTCTCCCTTGCAGAACGCAGTAATCGTAAGGGAAGCTACAGACTGCATGTGCAGGTGTTATGCTGCAAGTTTTCCCTCCAAGAGAAATACACTCTAACTGTGAATTTATTTTAATTCTACTTTGTATTCTGCTTTCCTTGTGTTACTTAGATAATGACAGTCTTATATGGTGGTCTTATAACTGCAATGAAAACATTGGTTTACCCTTATATAGCATGACTGAAAAAGTATAGCTGAAAGCAGTTTTGATTGGTTTGCTGCCAAGAAGGCAGACTAAATCATGTGGATCTGTCCTCCTTGTGATACTGTTTAGAGCTGTAATTTTACAGTATGGTATAGAAAATATGACTATTACATTTCATGATGATAGGAAGTCAGGAGGGACTGATAATAACTAGAAGAAATACAAAATGTTCTTGGTATATCCGAGATGTAGTTGAAAAAAAGTAGGATCAAACATAGAAAGAATAAGTTCAAGGAACTACTTGTAGGGGAGAATAAATCTGAGCTGCAAAAATCCCAAATCAAGTAATATCTACTCAGAAATTAAGATCTGAGGGTAGATCAAAAGCTGAACACAGGTAAATGAAGTTGCAACTGAAAGACTTCTACTAAGATGTTCCAAAGTAGAGTATTGTCTGCAACAGTAATTAAAAAGTCCTGTGCTGTTTGGTTTTGATATGGCTTCAATTTAACAGATTTTGAAAGGCAAGCACTGAGAATGACTGAGTGCTCAGGAACACAGAACCTTTGAGGCAGGGTTGCATGACTGGAGATTACTTAGTGTGGAGTCAGCTGAAAAGAAATATGTTAACAGTCTTCAAATACATAACATTGCTGCAAAGAGGAGAGAAATGGTCTATTAGTGTGACTGTAGTGTATGCAGAGCAATGGGCTGGAAGTGCAGCAAGGAAGATGCTGTGTAGCCAATAGGAAAGGCTTTTTAATTTTAACACTGTTATTTATTATGGAAGTAATTTCCTCTTCCAGTGGTGGCACTTTTTATCCTGGTGGCACTTTTCATTCTGGTAACTCGAAAGGGAATTAAACTAAAGAAATACTTGCTTCATGAGATTATCTTAAATGATTTTTCCTTTTTCTGTTAATAGCATCAAAATTATGCAAGACATCACTTATTTCTAATTGGATAAGCACAGATAAGCAAGGGAGTTTCTTTTTAAACTTGTTTGGTTTTAATGGACTGTAATAGTTTTCTGTGATAGGACAGTAAAGCTCTGGAACAGGTTGCCCAAAGTGGTTTTGCATCATCTTTTCATTGAGGTTTTCAAGACCAGCCCTGAGCAACCTGGCCTGATTAACTAACAGGCTCTGGGCCTGGATTTCAGCCTCTGTAGGTTTCAATATCTCAGACCTATCTTAAAACCTGCAGAGGTTGAAATCTGGTTTGTTATTATTTATTTTGATACTAAAGTATGTGCATCCCTTGGGAGTTGGAATTGTCCCAAAGCCTGTTAGTTAATCAGACAAATAATCTCTAAGATGCTTTTTTCCTTTGTTAAATCTGTAATTAATTCTCTTTTAATCTCCTGGTTATTGCTTCCTTTGGTCACTCTAGCTAGTACACTTTACCGAGGTCCCCCGTTTTTTCTGTCATCTTGTTTACCTTTTTGGATAGAATATGTATTTTCTTTAGTGTACTTCTGATATGATTCTTTCTGTAACTGAGCTAGAAAACAGAGAATTCAGTTTTGTGGGATATATGGAACATGAACACTACATAAATTTCATTACCATTTGGCAGCATGTGTGGAACAAATCTAAATTTTATTCGCAATAGTGGTGATAGAAAAGCCAACACATTTACATCTTAACTATAGCTGAGCGAACATGACTTAATTGTCATGAGCAGATAATAGTCATTTCATGGAAATGACTATTCATCCCAAATTCCTTGCCTTCCTTAGCTACTTCAAAATGTTAGCATAAAATCTCTGTTTCTCTTTTAACTCAGAGAGGCAAGTAAGGTTCGCTGCTATATAACTAAATCATAGTACTAGTTGATATCTTAGGGGACTCGGAAGTTGTGGGTGGCTGAGTAGGAGGATAGCTGTGCTCTGGAGAAGGACTCTTCAATTGCAGTTTTCCTGGGCTGGCTGCTTTGCTTTATAAAGCATATTCCCCTCCCTACTCACACTTGAAATAGAGGATTTTAAAACTGGATGTCATTGCAGCTGAGCTAT